TTTTGTATTTTAAACTCAAATGAGCGTTTAGCTTATTGTATGGAAATTGTCCAAATGTCGTATTTGACTTAGACGTACGATATATAACTATTTAATCTTACTATCCGCAGSCTTCCTGTATATGATAAATCACATTATAATATTATATCCAGGGTTCGGGACTTATAGCACTTAAAAGCACTATAATAAGCACTTAAAAACCCTAGAATATGCACAAAAAATTAAAAAATATGCATTTAATATATTTATTATTTTATTAATACCTAATTATTAATTACAATTAGTGTCACATAAAAAAATCAACTGATTGTTTCTTGAATTTCCGAGTTTTTTGAATTTTATTCGTAAACTATATGTATAATGTTGGGAAAAATTTAAAATTAAATTCAATAAATAAATAATTTTATATTTATGTGCCTTACCTTCATTGTTACATTGAATAATTAAATGTTTCCGCATTTTGCATTGCGATACGGGCAATACGGGCCATCATATTTTCTAATCACGAAAATTATAAAGAGCTGTGAGTTGTATATAGTAAATAGGTACATAGATTGCATTACTATTTATTTTTTTTAGATCGGTTGAAATTTTGAATTATTTTCCAAAATATGCAAAATAAGCACAATAACGTAAAAATAAGTACTTTCCTGCAAAATGTATGAAATATGCAAAAATATGCACATTCAAATTTTAGATTTGGTATCACGACATTGAGAAATGAATTTATTTCGTACTCTGCTACATTTTACAATAAATAAAAAAAGTATGCAAATGCTATAAGTTCCGAACCCTGATTATATCATTATCGTGGAGGCATACTCTGGCTTTGTATTATCATTTAATTTAAAAGTAGATAATAGGTATTAGTTTATCGGTCCATTTTATTGCACGCCGTGTTCGTATTAAACTGTCGTTTCCCGGCGTATGTACCGAATATTAGAACGCCTGGATGACTGCATTAGGATCGTGGTGTACCTACTTTTACAATAATATTCATATTGTGTCCTATTCGTGTCTTATATAGACTATATAGTTGTAAGTATATGCATCTATCTTGCACGCGTGGCAAGTACGTCGAGTGCGTGTATCCGAATCGTAGAGATCGTGTCTCGAGAGTAGAACATAATATTATTATTTATTATTATCGTATGGTATACGTATAATATTCGTTTTCCGTTTGGAAGCGGTATACCTATGCGCGACGATATTTTCAGCCACCGTCAGCACGCGTATATATTTTTATAATGTTATTATTATGTTCAACTCGCAGTGTCTCGCACACATTCATTTACCGACGTGTGATGGCTTGTAAAGCGGTCGTTGCTGCAAATAAAATAACAATATAATAATATGTAAAGGTACGCTACAACACGGATTCGTTGTTTAATATGATATTATTATCGATGCAGCTACAAACTTACTATTTGAAATACGCTTTTTTTCATTTTGGTTTTGTGTGACMAACGAGTTCTGCGGCGGCGGTTATTTCGTATTTGAAACGCGTATGCGTCGTGTGAAATATCCAATGAAACCGTGCACTGTGTAATCTAACCGTATACCTGTTATGCGATGTATGACCACAGATTCATCTATTCTGTGGTATGACCTCGCGGTTACCTGTCGTCGTCGTCGATCTAGTTGATGGCCTGCTGTCGCGTAAGTACCGTTATAAATGCTCTGATGAAAAACAAAGGGTTATATTATTATGCATTAATCGACAATCGTCGAATGTTAACTTGTAGTTATTATTATTATATTGGTATACCTATATGGTTATAAAAYTCTGCAACATAATATAATCGATAGAAGACAAAAGAAGATCCGTAATGGTGCCATGGGGGTGGTAGAGGTGGTAGGAACCAACGTCACGACAGTTGTACGAGACACGATACCCCGACCACCATTGTTCGATGACCAAGCACACCGCGACGTCACTAGGTAATAGGTATACGTCATATTATATTATAATTTTTAWAATAATATATTATTCTTGTACCGGTGCAGTGATTACGGTCTCCCTGAATAGGTCTTACATGTGGAAACCACTATTTTTCAGTGCGGGCGGAATGACTRATGCACTGTAATATTCCGTTCCTGGTTTAACGGCACCGTTTTCAGCGGTCGCGTAAATAAAATGCACTTGACCAAAAAATGAACATATGCTCAAAGAACGTATACCGATATCGTTATTATACTCACTTTGTTCACGTTTCGGAACGAAAATGATTGAAGAAAAATATTAAGAGAACGCTACTCTCGCATGWGACTTCAGTCTTAAAAATGTATTACACACAAACTGTTTCGCACGGAATATAATCACTCAGTCTATAGCCTAAGCTAAGCAATCTAATTTTCACATTGTAAAGAGGAGAATGTTTACTGTGCAACAATGATTTTATATTTTCGATATCACAACTACAAAAAAAATTTATTCAAGTTTGAAAAACTCAAAACTAATTAATTTTGTTAATAGTAAGACCTATTTTTCATATTTTTTTTTTTATAATTCTATAGGTTCTGATCACTACTCATCACAGCTCTACTCACTATATTTCAATCACAGATATGTCTGATAATACTTAACTATTATTGTTCTATAATTAGAACATAGGCATAATAGAATAATTTYTATTTTATTAATATGTCTATATATTAGTATTTGTGCTATAAAAAATTGCTTCTACCCAAATCTTTGCTCTGGATTCGTTCCTGGAATATATATCGCCTAGGTAGCATATTTACTTATTATAACTACTGTACACGTTCCGTAGTGACTATTTTAATTTTTAAATAATTTGAMCAGAATATGTATCAGTTACCTTTAGYTAATAGTGCATATTATTATTATGATGTTACTTTGTTATCTTTTACCCGCATTTCCTAATGAAGAATGGGATGTCATYTAAAGCATCGTGCTAATCACATTGCCATCGCAGACCCGCAGTATAATTATATGGCTACACCAATATTTTCAGAAATTTTTGTTTTCACAAATCATAACACCAAATTAATTGCTATTTTTTTGTTGGTAGTTTAAAAAAAAATWATATTTTTTAGACATATTTTAGTTATTTTTTAAGACAACAAATATTTTAAATTTCATATAAGTTTTCAGAAACAGAATACTTTTCTAAAGATGTTGATAAAAATTGTTATTTCTTTATTGGCAAACGTTTAAAATTTATACGCACCAAGTTAATTAGTAGGRGGGGTTACATTAAAAACTTGAGTTCCAGTGCTTCATTTATCTTATCTCTTAACGTGTATTATATCAACAGAGAATTATTTATTCAGTATCGAGGACATTTTTATTTAAATAATATGTTTACTGTATCCATCTGCTTGTTAGAAACTTGTTTTTTGCTTATTGAATATTTTTAATATCATGAAAGTTATTTGTATATTTTGTAATCTTACACATTAAAACATAAAAGTATGGTTGATTCTTAAAAGACTATGAGAAAATTCATTAAAATCAAAATCTTATTATAAAAACCTTGTATTATACTTCAAGCTAAATAAAAATAAATGTATAAAATTGACTTAGAAAATGAGTGTACATAGTCATTTTAAATGGATCACACTGTACACTTGCCATCCAAGTGACTGAGTATAATATCGTAACACGTAATAATGTAAGTTGTGTATATAGGTACATAGCTCCAGTCGTTGCCAACCATAATGACGGTCGATGAAAGAGAATACTTCGTATGAAATGTAATTACTCATATTATATTTGAACGTGGGATCCAAAAAATTATGACCAAAACAATTGCTCACCATATGAGCGGTCGACGACGACGACGGCGACGCCTTGTAGTCTGTTGTGTCGGTGTGATGTACCTACAGAACAAATGCGAGTAGTTATGTATATGTGTGTATGGACTGTGTACAGTTTGAAAATTATTCGAGCAAAACGGTGTAGAAGTCGTATCCCCATACGCACGTAACTTCGTCTTCGACTATTTTATGAGATAAATACATTTGGTGTCAATTTTCAAAAAGATCGTCCTCTTTTTTCATTGAGTTATTTGAATCTATTGTTGTTGATTGTAATTTGTACAGGTTTGCCATCAATGAAACGATCGAACCATGATTGATATCTGAAAMGGTAAAAAAGCGAATTGCTTACATTTTTACAATCAAAAAGTTTATTCCATTCATTTTATACTTAGTTATTTACGTGATCAACGGCTGGTTTAATATATGTGAGAACTATCTTAAATTTTTTTTTTCGTATCACATTGTTATAGATGTGATATTTCTAAGTTATAATATTATTAACATTATTTTTTAATTTATATAACTGTGTCTAATAATTCGTGTTCATTGTCAATAAATTACTATTTTTAATTGCTGTTTAATTAATGTTTGAGGAAAGGTTTTCTAATATTAAAAACATTCGTGCTATACTATGATTTATCTTAGATTATTAATTATTCTAGTTTTCAGCACCAACATTTTAATGAATAATAATRATTGTGTTGTTAAACAAGAAAATTGACTTAAATATTAAAGTATATGCCACACTTGTTTTACTTATATAGAATTATAGTTTCTAATATCTCGTAATATACTAATAATCAACATACTTACAATGATGATAGGTATTATTTGTAATAATTTTTAAGCCGTATGTTTGTTAGGTAATATTGCTAAAAATCATTTTTAATGTTGTTACAATGTTACATACATAACWACTTACCTACGTATAGCCTTACGCCCGTACAGGTATTACCTACGTGCTATATTAATAAATAAAATACTTATTTATCGTTAAATATATTTATAAGTGATTTCAATTTTTTTATATTCTATTTAACTTGATACTTATTAGATAATAATGACGTGAACGGTGATTTGTATATATTATTGCTACCTATTCATACTGCGACATACAAAATGTATTGAACATTATTAGACAATATTCATCTGAATAATGAACAGTTGAAATTCGTAGAAACTATTGTAATACATTTTTGTGTCATGTGTTTCAGATTAAAAAGAGACCAACAAGAATTTATTGATCACAGAGGATTGCATGTAGTTGTTGGCCACTATTTAGGAGATGTTAACAATGTGGGGGCAAGTGCGAATCTCACCGATGGTAAAAAAAAAAAATACAACTATAATAATAGGTACCTGGTACATTTCCTCTACACTTTAATAGTGAATATTAAAATATAGTATACCTATAGGCTATAATACATCTTTACTAACTAGCCATATCCTATTTAAGTCCGTATAATGGTTCTGGTAATTTTACTGTGAAATGAACCGTTGGCCGTGACATTTTTTCGTTGTGATTTTAATCCTTAAAAAATAAAAGGGTTAAGATGTTGAAAATATTTTTTTGTAAATTGTATTTTTCATTATTCTTACGTGGTTTTTTTCATTTCACTATTTCCAGTATACACTTATTTTATATGTACTTAATCAATTTTTTTATACCATAGAGTTACTCAATCGAAACATGTTCGACCCAAAACCGAAGGAAGGACGTGACGGGACTCCGGTCATTATACCACCTCATATGTCCTTACAGATGCAAAAACTCTACAGGATTAACAGATTCAATCTAATGGCCAGCGACCGAATACCTCTGAACAGGTCTCTACCGGACGTCAGAAAAAAATCGTAATTATCTTTTCCAGCGTTTGTGGTCGTCTATAATATAAAATTTAATGGCTAATAGGTATACTGATAAATTTAATATAATATGACCTTACAGATGCAGGCTGAAAAARATTGATATCGATAAGCTTCCATCCAGTACCGTAATAATTGTTTTCCACAACGAGGCTTGGTCGACGTTAATGAGAACGGTCCAGAGCGTTATAGATCGTTCACCTAAATATTTGCTGAACGAGATCATTCTAGTCGACGATGCCAGTACTCGAAGTATGTACTATGTATATATTGTATACACCTACGAACTATCTATAATTCAATGCATTGGACGTTTTTGAAGGGTAATCTATATCCGTTGAAAATAATATTGTATAGCATGGTCACGAAGTAAACATTTTGGTAAATACAACCACGTGCTTATTATATTGTTTTTGGTATTTAGGTTGTGATGTTGCAGTGTATTTATTACAAACACTGAGACACGCGTACGCCTAAGGTATATTAGTAAATTAGTAATATCTAATTTATTACGATTTACTATTAAACCCACATTCGGGTAGATTGAATTATTTCCACGAGCATATTCTTCAAATACTCATTTAAATATTTAATAATAATAATATACTTCATATACTTACGTTGCAGAGTATCAAATGTATATTCCATTTTGCCGAAAATAATTAAATATTACCATAAATGCTTTAGGTTTCATAAGAAATAATTGAAAATAGACAGACAATCTATCAATTTCGATCGAAATTAGATACCTATATTATTATTTTGTCTATATAATATATATATTATAAGTGGATCCATAGGTATAGTATATTATATATGCATAGATAGTATGCGATCGTATTTTTATGACTGTCATTAAGTCTCTCTGATCGAATCACCGAGTGATTCAATATCAAAAACATAAAATAAAAACCTCCCGACTTATAATCGAAATGATATTAACTGCACTCAASTCTTCTATAAGAGTTCACGCTATGGCCTGAAGTAATGTTTAGGTTCCATATTATGTAAATCGACTATTGAGTTGGTTCGTTAACCTCGGGGAATAAAGATATTACAMTATGACAATWKATTAAATTGATTATYGTGTATAGAATATTATAAACCGAATTCAATTTGCCATCCAAAGGAGCAAACATAATTGTCGTGCCAGATTTAATAAAAAAAAATGCTGTTATTTAAAATCATCCGTGATAAGTATAGAATTAGGCGATGTACTTTCTAGCCTATTTGGCGCCAGAGGGCGTGTTTCTATCGCCATGGATTTTATCATAATAATATTGCAATCACTATACYTACTATTAATGTTCACAATATATTAAACATCGTCTGTAGAATTATATTAAAATTACATAGGTATAGGTACAYGTACATTTTTGTGTTTATTTTTTAAACCGAACAATTATGTTTYGTATATTTCCCTTCTTAATTATAGTTTCACCTTTTTTACCTTCTATTTGGTGTTTATTTACTATTTTAAATTCTATGTTTATTTGGTCACAGTTCACCAACAAATAGGATGGATTGAATTTATGTTTTTCTATATAATATTTTTTATATGCACTGTCTTACCCAAGGCGTCCTCACTGTTCAGGATAAAATTATAGGTCAGGCACTGTTATAATAATAGTAGTTTATCAAACATTTTTTTTTTTTAGTTATCTTAAATATTGTTGTATATTTTACTCGATAATCTGATATTTTAATAATAATAAATGTTTGATATTTTTTTCTCGTTTTTTTGTTATGTAATGAAATATAATTTACTATTAATAAAATTACGTGGAAAGAACCATGTTATTCTGATAAGTCGTATAATGTGCAACATAGGTGAATATCGATGACTTTTCAATCAGATATGCTTTACTGAAACTGTAAATTGTGGAGTGTAGAAGGATAAATTATTTTGATGAACAGCAGTCGTCGCGTATTATTATCATTGGTATAAATAGGTACTATTAAAATCGTTTTTTCGTTATAGAATTTTTGGAAAAAGATTTGGATGCTTACGTCGCCAAATTACCGGTCTCAACACGAATTATACGTTCACCAAAAAGGATTGGTCTGATAAAAGCGCGTTTGATGGGAGCCCGGCAGGCGAAGGGTAAAATATTGGTGTTCTTGGATGCGCACTGCGAGTGCACTTTGGGTAATATATTTAGAGGTCACCATTATTTCACTGTACTGTCTATACATATTATGTTCTTAATTTTTTTCAGGATGGTTGGAAGCCCTAGTAAGTCGAGTTGCCGAAGACCGGAAACGCGTAGTGTGTCCTGTAATTGACATCATAAGTGACGAGACGTTTGCCTACGTTAGAAGTTTCGAACTGCACTGGGGAGCGTTCAACTGGGATTTACACTTCCGGTGGTACACGCGGACTACACCTGATATAATGAAGGGTCAGCGGGATATCACCCAGGCGTTTAGGACCCCGGCGATGGCTGGGGGGTTGTTTGCCATGGACAAGTCATACTTTTTCGAGCTGGGTGGATATGACGAAAAGATGGAGATTTGGGGCGGAGAAAATTTAGAACTCTCGTTCAGGGTAGGTATAACTTGTTTTCTGTTAGGCCGTACTTATAATTTTCGCACCACCTTAGACCTCACAATTTATTAGAGATTCGTAGATATTTCCTTAAATTTTTTGTGTAAGCAATAAATTAGTTAATTCGAAATATTTAATACCTGTAATAAAAACMCTTACTAAATTTTGTTTTATGATTATAATTCACATTTATACGCATTTTTTTTTTTTGGATGATTACTAAATTTAATATAGTAATTAAACATTTTGATCACGATATAGATGAGTCGCTTGTTAACTTTTACAATTTTACTGTCTTACTGTATTTTTGAATTTTAAATGCATCTTGTACCATTTAAAGTGTTTTGTAAACTCCTTTAATCCCAATCTTAAATACATTTTTTTTTTTTGTACTACCGACACAGACTTCAGTAAATATCCCATTCTCATGGCATTGTAATATTACATGTACCTATTGTACCTATCGCYTATGTAGAATATCAAACAATAAAGCTTGCATATTATATTTTAGTTCAATGATTTTCAAATTGATTTTTAAATTAATATTTTGCAATGAATCATGTGCAAGTATTCTCCTTAATACGGCTTTACTAGGAGTGACATAGCATGTTGGTCGATAAAATATATACCTAATCATATTATAATCGTAAATTATTGTTGTCATCGGCGTACAGGTCTGGCAGTGCGGTGGCAGCATCGAAATAGCACCGTGTTCTCATGTCGGTCATGTGTTTCGGAAATCGTCTCCCTACACGTTCCCTGGTGGTGTGTCTCACGTTCTGTATACAAATTTGGCACGAGTGGCGCTGGTTTGGATGGATGAGTGGCAAGAGTTTTATTTCAAATTCAACCCTGGTAAGTTGGCACATTGYACCGAAATCTGCGGGCTTAACAAATTTTTGGTATTTGCAGAAGCGGAAAAGTATCGCGACGAACAACAGATAAGGACGAGGTTGGAGCTTAAAGACCGTCTCAAGTGTAAAGGGTTCAAATGGTATCTGGACAACGTGTGGCCAGAACACTTTATGCCAACCGATAAAAGGTTTTTTGGCAAGGTAATTATATTACTACCAGTCATATTTAACAACTTATAATCTATAATATAATGTGTATGGGTAACGTTACAGGTGCTATCATTGTTAAGTAATACACTAAACAAATTTAAACATACGTACCTAAATAATAATAATTTAATTATCTTTGGTTAAGTACTTGTTAGGTTTAGGTTAATTTTTAAAAATTGTTTTGCTTATAGTTATATGATTTAAAGATTATATTTTTTTTGCAGGTAACTACTATTAAATCACTTATTTGTTTTACTTGTAATTTTTGCTAAAAAATTTTTTTTGAATATTTTCATACCTTTAATAAACAATTTAAATAATATACAGCTCACATTTGCATATTATAGTATRTCTACAATTAAATTAATTAATTCCATTTTTTTTTTTTATGATTATGTTTTCGTTTTAGATCAAACACATGTTGTCGAATCGTTGTTTGGAAAAGCCATCTGGACGTGGTTCGCTGAACCAGCCCATGGGTCCGGTTGGGATCAGAGCGTGCGATGTTCAGGGACGTGCATCTCTGTCGCTCATGTTCGTCATGGCCCCGGCCGAAGGGTTAGACTCCGGGGTATGGTCCGGATCTCTGATGACCGACGAGTCTGTGTGCCTGGACACGCCTGAGCTGGAAGTGACCAATGAAATTGCCCTGAAGGTACGGATCGTCGCTTGCACTGGTCAAAAACGGCAGCGCTGGAAATATGATTCCAAGGTGAGCTCAGTCCCAAGAGATGATCAAACATTTTACAAACATTTTATAGTTTTACAGAGTAAAATTACTATTTGTATATTTAAAAATGTTTTGTTTGTTTTTGCAAAAATGTTCGTGACACTTCTTTTACAAATTTACATTGCGTTGATTTATTATTACCGTTGTTGGTAGTCTCACATTTTYATTTAAGTATATAAAATAATAAAACYCACCTATAAAACGAAACATTATTATGAATTTACAAGTTATTGGACTCAATGAGATTATAAAATTGGGGTAGAACTAACCTGTACATATGTACAATCATCAGCACACATATTGCAGCAGTTATAATATATTTAAATATATTTTATAATGTAGGATGCCACAATATAGGGTAAACACGCTTAAGTGTTGGTTGGGAAATACTAGATTTTGACTATCTATTCATAGGCCATTATTATCATTATCTTATATGGTTAGATTATATGTATTTTTTTTTACATAAATTACAAAMATGTTTTGTACTTATAGTCCATATGGTAATCGAATATATCTCGCTCGCTTGGCCAAGCGTGTTGATTTTTGGGMCTGGTAGTACGTAAGTGTATAATATATATTATGAGCACATTGCAGCATATTGTAACGTATTATTTTTAACTTTAACTCTGTGTTATCATGACTTTATATCATAATATTATTGTTATTTTACGATTTTAGACTATGAACTTGGTTCACATACACACCGACTTGTGTCTGGATTTACCAGCCGGCGAATCCAGTATCGTACTTAAAAGTTGTGCTGATCATGCTAGTCAGAAATGGATTTTTGAACAAGTACCATGGAGATGATTATAGATGCCCGTCTGTTAAACTATCTTTTGTGTACATTAATCATTATTTAATTTAACAGTCATCGATTATTTATATAATGTCTTAGTTCCTGTAATATTGTTGGATTTTGTATTAAAACAACTTTTTTRATTTTTTTTWAAATAATATTAATATATTTTGTTGTTCAAACAATTTTTATTGTTTTTATTTTATTTAAGTTGCATGTTAACGTTAACAAAGTAAACATACAAATAGATATCATACATAGTACTGAGTACTCACCAGTCACCACACACATGCGTGTTTATGCTTGTTAATTGTATTTGTACTTATTATCGACAAGAACAACAGTGATAAGTACGTCCTCTTTTTTTTTTTAATGTAAACGTGTTCATAAATGCGGGTAATAATAACAATTATAATGTACTYTGCAGTTTTAGAATTTTAAAATTATTTTAATAGAAAATCTGATTTTAGATTAATATTTTACAAAAATAATGTAATTTATTGCGTGTATATTTGTTATAATATCATCTATGTGTGTTGTATAAAGTCAAACGATATTATTAGTCAATTTTATCTGTCTGAATATATTCACAACTAAATATATTATATTAAATATAATTTAATTTATGCTTTATAGTTGTTGTATTTGGAAACATCAGA